TACGCTGGCATGGCTACTTTAAAATAATCATGTTATACTGGAGGCCCGCATGGACTTAAAGGAAGCTCTACTTAAGCATTTGACAGCTAGGTCGGACACTTATCATGCAGGGGGACACAACTGCATGTCAAATGTGATCTTTTTTGGCAAGCTTAAAGGAGGACAGCTTAACAGAGGTACCCCTGGGAGCTCTATAATGATTAACTTAGATGCTATTTTGCCCTCACTGGCATAGAGGAAAGTAGCAAGCAGCAGATGGCCTCTGAAAGACAGTTGGCGAGCTTTCACAAAGACCCCAGAACACACATATTTGATTCTCAAAGATATGGCTTTGTAGAAAACAGGCGCAGAAGACAACAAAAAAAACTTACATAAAACCCCAGTGGGTCTGCATTAGATTCTGCAAAATATGCATCTCGAAACTGGGTTTTCATAGTCATGTGAAACACTGCACTCATCCTTAATTGAAGACATTACCCACTAGAATGCTATTTTTAGAAAACTGAAAACCAATGTATAAATGGACACAAAAAGACAATGGACTTCAATGTCAAAATTAATACAATTAACTATCTACAATTATTGAAGACATGATAGACTAGACATCTGGGTAAAACACCATCTCACTCTTCAATATTTTTTTGAACTTTAAGCTAACAACTTTGGGGATCTTTCATCATTCTGGATAACAATAGTTATTTCCCCTTGTATTGACAGGTTCACATGCAAATCTAATCCAATGTTCTTCCATTTTTTCAGCAACAGAAAGAAATAGCGGAGCAAAAGAAAGCCAAAAAGGAACAGCTGGAAAAAGAATGGAGAAAGAAGGAACTAGAAAAAGTGAAAGAAGGCAAAAAGGCATACTTTTTAAAGAAGTGTAAGTTGACCAAAAGTTTTATCAAACTTAGGACCAACCTTCTAGGGGGTTTGTTTTGTACCATCATTAACCTGTGTCTGGGGGTTGGGGGTGGGTTCTGTTATGATGCACTCAACCAAATTGTACCACTTAACTATACACATTAATGTAACAAACAGCTTTTCTTTTTGTGACCCTGTTTACCAGCTTCTTTGGTGCCCTGAAAAATGATCTTGGCCCAAAAAAAATCATGTGTAACCATGTCATATGGACTTTTTTTTAAAGAGGGCCTTATTATCCCAGTGATGTAAATCTGCTAAGTGTCTGTTTCCATTACCTCATCACATATTCATTAGTGTAAGGTGGAATAAATAGTATTTATACTGGGCTTGATTGGATATAAGGATAGTTTATCTTGACATTTGTTCCCACTCAACACCCCCCCCCCCCCCCTCCCACTAAGCTATTAGCAATTCTAATGAGCAAACTCCAACTGCCCTAGAATAATTATACAGAGAGTACTTTGTTTTTTAACTTTGTTTTGTTTTTTTTTACAGCTGAGAAAAAAGCTTTAATGGAAACAGAAATGAAAAAAGAATTGGAACAATCTGGGAATATGCAGAAATATTTGCAGAGAAAAAATAAAAAGTTGGCTGCCAAAGAGAAAAGAAAAAGTGAATGGACCACTAAGGACTTCTGACCCAATTGTTACTTTTGTTCAAAGAAATGTTTGTATATACACACACACAAATATGGGCTTTATTTTTTAATGGTGCTTAAAACTGTTTTTAAAAACAATTGGTGTACAATTAGACTGGCTGCCTGGTTGTGTGGTAATCGCTCTGGACTGTCATCTCAATGGTCCTTAGTTGAAACCCTGCCCACTGCCATCCTACTAGATGTTAGGGATAGGATGTAACAATCTTCAATTTTGAAGGAACATCCCAAACATGTAAAACAAAAGATTGTTATGACAACTGGTTTACTTTGAACTAGAGATCAAATAGCAGTATTACCAATAACTTTAAGGTATTAGTTATTAAATGTATTAGTCATATAAATTATTGACATATTAAAAAAAAGAACAAATTACTGTATAAGCCTAAATTATTTTTTTTAAACTTCTACTTGATAATCATTATTTTTTTTTACAAAGCTTTTACCATCTCACTCTGGTAAAAAGTTTGTTCACTTTATTTCTCCCACATCCAATCTTGGATGAAACTGAAATTGTTCACATTTCTTTAACATGACAACTCAAGAATCAATTCAAAAATTAACCAATTAGTTAATAAACTATTGGTAACTATTTTGTTTTGTATCTCAAACAATGGCAAGAAATTGTACTTGACTGAAGTGGTGGTATAAGCTGAATTAGTCTCCTTTACAGGTTGTCGTCTTAGTGAACACAAAGAGGAAATAGGAACAATCGTCCATGTTCATTAGTTAGGTAGCAGAGGGGTTACTGTGTTGGTTTGAGAAGGCTTTAGCCCACTAGTCTGAATTCGTTGTTTTTTTTTAATTTAAAAAGTGATATCCCTTTCTTTCTCCCCCCACCCCTTTCCAAATGGTCCAGACAGAATCATAGTGTATTGAGAAAGCTTAAAGCATGAAATTGCACTAAACAATATTGGTAAAAATATTTCTAATCACCCAGATTTAAAGTATTTTTTTATATTCTGCTTGTTATTTGACTTTTTCAGTGGTGAACTATGGTTCATCTCATATTTATTGACATTAGGTAAAAAATGGTCTCATCAAGTTAGTCTAGTAACTTATCTCAAGCATCTTGATGGTGTAGGCTTTTAAGACTATCACTATCAACCTTATTCAAATTAAGCCAGGGGCATATTTTTTTTATCATTGTGACTGGTGAACTAATTAAAGCAAGTAGTTCTGGTCTATACACTACAACTGAACTGTTATCTCCCAGCTATTTAAACACCTCATTTTGAGTAAATGTTGCAGCCTTCAATATTTTTGGGTACGCATAAATTTGTGCATACAATATGCTGTTGACATATTGTCTTCTGTTCCTGCCTTTTTAAGATCTAAGTCTACCGCACAATGCCAGTTTACTTATTCTTTTTCATCAATCTAATAAAAAGACTGAAAAGCTTAGTCAGTACAATTTGTATAGTTTGGTTTTTCTCCAACAATCATGTTAGGAAAAAAAAATATTTTTAATTTTATATTAAAGGCGTCTCAAAATGTTTCAGCATATATTTTGTTGTTCTGTTTGGTTGCACAATATATTTCTAGCAATGATTTTTTTTTTCTAAATGTTGATAAGGAGGAAAATAGTATAAAGAGAACTTGCTTTCACATATTTCTATGGGCTATCAAAAGCTAACACAATGTTTAACAACTATTTAGCAAGAAATACATTCTTTGTCTTTTTCAAATCAATCCTCCTTTACTTTAAAAAAAAAGCAACTGATTCCATACCTCTTAATTCATTTTACTTTTTTTTTTTTTATTTTATGTGCCAACACAGAAAATAGTAAAAAAAAAATTAAAAAGTTCCCCTTTCAGACCTTGCGATCTACAGGGCAGATGATGTAAAGGTCATCTGTTTCTGTGGCCCACAGTTAATGAAGGTGTTATGTGGCAAGCACAATGACCAAACTTTCCCCAACTCGTGTCATTAGAGCTGGGTGGACTCAGGCGCCCAAAGATCTCAAAGTTAAAAATCCCAGTCTTCACCTGGATTTGAACCTGGGACCCCAGTTTGAAATGCAAGTGCGAACGCTCAGCCACAGCACCTCCAACAAAGAACATAGTCAAGGACAAATAGTGACTGACACACAGGCTTCTCTCTCTATCCACTGACAAAAGTGGTCACATAAATAAGGAATAAACTCTACAAATTCAATGCTATATACCTAACTTATTTTTTATTATTATGTAAGGAAGATATAATTTTTTACTTTGGGCAGATGAAAAAAAAGTGTACTACAGTATAATTAATGCTAGATGCATTTGTAAAAAACATTTCTCACGGATAATAAAGATTATTATTATTATACAAGATTATGGTACCGATGTATGGAAGAAACAAAAAAAAACAAAGATTGAGAAAACTTTTTTATTTATTTTTTTGTGTGTACTGCATATTCTCGCTTCTTGATGTCAGTCCTCCTTATATCACCAACCTTATAGTGGGTTGCAGACCTTTCTTTACAGCATTAAATAATTAGTATAATAATAATAATACGGGAATAAAGCATCTCTGCCAGTCAAAGAACATGAACAAGGTGGTGGCCATAATACAATGTACCTGACACGAGCTGATCAGTCTTCAGCCACATTAATGTCTACCATGGAGCATGCACAACTAAGTGAAGCTATGTGGATATAAATAAAGACAACAATTACAAAATAAATACTTGACAACACTAGCAAAGGTGATTTATCCCCATCGTATCATTGGATAGAAGTAGAGCTACAGACGTAATTCCCATGTTACACAAAGCAATCAAATGTGCTTTATCAGAGACTGAAGAAATAAGAGGAAATAGCTAGGCACATTAGCATTTCATTGCGGGAATAAAATTGGATAAATATACATGTATATACATTCCTTTCAAACGAATGTTTAGTAAAATTCTGCACTTTAAAAAACAAAACTATTGCTTAGAAAGAAAATGTCTTAGCGTGCAAGTGTTCTAAATTGAGTCCTGCATGAACTCATGCAGTCATTGTCTAATAACCCAAATCATTTGGAACAAAAAGAATCCAGTTTCAGGGATACATTTCATAATCTTGCTATCAATTATGCTGAGGGGATAGGATCAACTGTAAATTTAAATAAACTAGCATTGCCAGAATCTCAATCTAGCCCACCACAGAAACGCCTCACCAACAAAGTCTGCTAAGCTGGCAATTACAGAGGCACACGCTAACATTTGGGGGTGACTGGATTATCTGCCCCTGGCCAGCCAGATGCATCAAAAAAATGGATACAGTTGACATTAATATACAAATAAGCTCTCCACACACACCAGTTTTTCTTGAAATGTTTATTCTAAGTCAATAAGAAGCCTGACATTTTGTTTTGAAATAAATGCTTCATTATTAATGTACATGTCAACAATTCAGAATTTTGATCTGCAAATTGGCATACAAGGATGGAACCTGATGGGTAATTGCGACACATCTGAATGCATATAAAATGATTAATTAATGACATCAAGTTTATTGGACAGATGTAGAATACAAAATGAAGCAAACATCTATTACTTATCACATCTGAAAGAACTGTCTTTGAAGACTAACTTTTTAACAAAAAGGCTCTTAATACTCAATTCTTTCAAGACAACCCAGCCCTCTAAAACCTTAGCATCACAAGCGAAATGTATCACATTAGTAGAGTCTCCTGTTTGTGTATGACATTCATGACAGATGACACTTTTGTTTGTTTCAAGGCAACAGTGAAGATGCTCGTGTAGATGTGAGTGTGGACTGATGGCCAATGGCAAATATCCCCGTACACCATGACATAGGAAAGACTTCGGGCTGTGACAAAATCCAGATCTCGTGGCTTAATTTAATAATGGGTTGGCTAGTTACAACAATGTCTGATGTTGATTTATGAGGAGTCAAAAACAAATAGAGAATAAAACTTGGTGATGGTACTAGCTATACAAAGCTCAAGGTTCTAAGTCTTGTTTATCTTTTAGGAAGGGAAGTGCAACAAAAACAAAAAGTGAAAATACCCCCCCACCCCCCAAAAAGTAATTGAACACAAATTTCATAGTCTTAATAATTAAAAAATTACACACAAAAAAAATTGAAATTTTTCTTTCCCTAGGAAATAGGAGTTAATTTGTGATTGGTAATATAATGGGAAAAAAAAATAGAAAGAAGAAAAACAAAAAACCTATCACTGAAAGAAAGGTGTATTTGTTTGAATATAATCCTAACAATACCCGTCCTTTCTGTTAAGAGAAATGTGTAATCAGGTTCATTCATCTCCCTGGTTCAACAGAAACAAAAGAAAAAAATAATGAAAGTGAACAAGACCACCACTAGAATATAACAACAGTAAAATAACAAACCCCTGCACACCAAACTACTCACAGATGGTTGTACAATTCTATACACCTTCAGGTTAAGATAAGCATTGAGTTCTGAGCCCTTTCTGGCTAATAATAATGTGCCACCACTGACTACAATAAAAACATAATGACACAGGGTAACAAGTAGATAAATAATAGAGACTAAACAGCATTTGTACAGACAGGTATATCATGACATTCTCTACTGTAACACAACATACATCCTCTTGAAAAGAAAGACATCTTTGTTTAAATATTGATATATGTTTTTGTTTTAGTAATGTGAATGTAGGTTAATGACTGTATATGGAGAAAGGAAAGCAATGTGACAAAACTGTACAATGCTAGGACATTATTGAGCTAAAAATGGTGTGTAGACCATACATGAAGTGAATTTGTTTGTTTGTAGTATTTCATAGAGTTGCACTGACTATATATGCAACCATTAATTAAATAATATAATTTAAAAACAAAAAAAAAAATGGGTGTATTCAGCCCCTACACAGGCTTAGGTATGAAATTAATATGGTCATAAATAATGTTTTATCACATTCCTTTTTTCCTGTATATCAAACTAATGGCTGTCTTCCCAAAGTTGACAAGCCATCTCTCTATATATAAATATATAGATATATAGATAGATATAAATATATATCTGATATTGCCACCTTGTGAGTTTTCAGTGTAATAGACATCACAGGAAAAAAATGCTATCCACTGATTGAGTTGATGGTGAGATGATTGTGAATGACAGTGAATGATGGGATATGATAACATCATCACATAGAGTATGGCTTAGCTAATAACACATTTCTAATGCATAGTACGAACAAAAATAAATAAATAAATATAGACAGAGCCAAAATTTTGTCACAATGCTTTCCATCATTACAATAATGTAGAATGTAGTATCACAAAACGTTACTTTAGAAGTTTGAAACAGTGGAAGGTTTGATTACACCCTTATCTTCTATTCGTTAGACATGCAAACAAATGTATAGTGTTAGGACTTTTTCAAGCCCTCTTTTTTTACATAATCAAGTTCTAATTTGGAGAAAAGGGTGATTATGATCTACATTTTTAATAGCAGCGAAGGCAGTTACTACTGGCCAGCCACAGAATACTAAGCACTTGATCACAGCACATAACAAAAAAAAATATCTCAGTGGATCTCAAATTTAGTACTAGTACACTGTGGCACTGTTTGACTTAAGTTTTTTTTAAAAAATATATATAATACAATAAAATTATTCACAGCCCTTATATTTTTTTCAGTGGACCAGTACCATATAAAAACCAACGCTCTAACTGATGTGATTTCAATAAAGCTGAAAAAAAAATGTATGTGGATGAGTAAGAATGAGAATGATAAGGAAAACAAAACATTTAGGATGCATCTTAGTTTAAAAATCCATACAACTAATCAATACAAGGAAACCAACAAAGAGAGTCTATGTTAAAAGGACTCAGAATATTGAATTCTAACAGCAAGAATTAGAAGACGATTAAAAGAACTCTGCACTAAGGGATAATGAAGGACCAAAATAAAAATGACCAACCAGAAAATAAATAAATGAAAAAAAAAAATGTGTCTCAAATGAAACGAGGATAAAATAATTTAACATGTAAATAAAGAAAAAAAAATTTAGATTATCACTTTTCTGAAAAATTTTTCATGTTAAAATGAATACATTTGTAGTAATCATTTCTTGACTCTCAGATGTGATGTAGAGCCTTATCGAGCAGTTGCTTGTCTAGCTCTCTTGTACTCCTCCTGCTGGATACGCTGTTGGATCATGTACTGTGCCCTTGTTATATTGCTGACTGTACCAGAGATACACACAATACGATTGTGTGTCCCTGGAGCATACACGCCCTTCTTAGAGATCTGTATATTAGTACCAGTGTACTGCTGTATCTCCACAATACCTTTTCCACCAGGACCAAGGATGGCTCCAACTATATTTTCAGGTACTTCCATTTCTTGTTTAGTTGAGGTCTTATCATCTGTAGGGCTATACATGCCAGTGCCCAGACCAAAAGAGTTCTGGTTCACATTGACTGTGACAGTACCTGTTGACCTATCCTGAGGAGGGTAGGCAACGGCACTTGCTGAAGCAGCATATCCAGGTGTCTGGGTAAAGGTATCGAGCATGGGGCTGGAGCCATATCTATCTGGGGCTCCTGCCATACTCGGTGAGGAGCTGCCAAAAAGACTAGTGGATTGCTGCTGACCTGTAGTGGTACTGCCCACAGGGCCAAACATGCTTGAGGCTTGTGATGTAGTTGCACCAAAGGAAGTGTTGCCTCCGGATGTGCCAGCCATCTGCATTCCTTGCATGTTGGCTAAGCTAGAGGCTGTCATGTTAGCCCCCATTTGATTCACTCCTCCTATTCCCATCCCTAGTATTCCATAGTTAGCTAATGTGTTCATAGCTGTACTGATCTCATCTGTTGCTTGTTCTGTATAGCCAGAACTTCTCAATGTCATTTTTAAATTTTCTAGAGCTTGAGCAGCCATGGGCCCACCTAAACCCATAGCAGCAGCACTTAAGGTCATATTAAGTCCTGCAAGTCCCATTCCATTGTATGAATTATTACCATTGGAACCGAAATTGAAGCCTTGTGTAGGATATGCTGCAGTAGTATTATTCATCATTTCTGTGGTGCGTGTTTGATATGGGGTGTTAGCAAAGGGTGATCCTGTGGGATTGGCTGATGCTACTGGCCCTGTGTAATCAGCATAACTTATATTTGGACAACTACTGCTTTGAGGATCTTCAACAATTTTTTGCAGAATCAAATCCATGGCTTTCATATTGGCATCAAGTTCACCTGGGAACAAAAAAAAAAAATAAGTATTAGTACTCAACTTGTACTGCTCTTAAGAATGGATAAAAAAAAACACAAATTAATTACTTTATACAAAAAGTGCCATAAAGAGCTAACATTGCAGGCAAAAAAAATGAAATTTAACCCTAATTTATTTTTTAGCAATTGTATACTCCACATGCTCATTGTATTCTATTTAATAATACTAAGACTCATTAAGAAAAACAACTATACAGTTAAGATGAATCATTAAACAATTTAGGTCGGGAAAAATAATTAGTTATTAGTGTTACATTTATTATTTCTTGGAAGTAAAACAAATCATAATAAGACAATTGTGCAGATCTAATATGAACAGGGGTGCCACTTTTTTTTGTGTTTCAAGAAAAATTTCTTTTAATAAACCTGAAATGTTACAAGCACTGCCATTTCGCCTGTGCTGGATAAAATGTTCTAAATTCAAAATTGGACAAGAAATAAGGGAAGAGTAATAATTCCAACATTTAGCTGGCATATACACAAATTGAATATATACACTGTTGTAACAATTTTTTTGTTTGATATGTAGGTTTAATAAGGGAACACTTTTACTCTTGTACTGACCAGTGCAAGATCAATGCAAGACTGGACTTCACTGCCATCTTCGAGTTCATAGTAAATAAAGTTGTTTTCATTTTCAACCACAAAGGAGAAACTTATCATTCAAATAAAAGTTTTGAAAAAAAATATTTACCTCTTAAAGAGTTTTTTTTTTTTTTAAAAAGTTAATTTGAATCACTACCAATTTAGACAATCTGCGGGCTTTTTCAGTTCACGGACCAAAGGTTTGGAACTCACTCCCCATTGATCTCAGACAGACAACATGCTACACCACTTTTAAGAAGAACATTAAGACCTATCTGTTTAAAACTTTTTTAGATTAACTGTCATTTAAGCTCTTGTGTTTTGTTTGTAATGTTGTTACAGCGCCTTGAGCGTACATTTTGTTTGTTAACAGCGCTTTATAAGTAAAATTATTATTAATTATTATTATTATAATCTATAAAGTATATTTTAGTCTTTATACCCGATAAAGCTTAAGTTGTAGGTGTGACTGATACAAATAAAATTAATGAGGGTTTTTGTAATCCATTGAGGTGCAGATGTCAAGCTTTATGAATTATAAAACTAGCTTGTAGTTATGCCTGATAAGACTTAGAACAACTGCAAGAGTTCTTAAGTCAAAGCAGGTGATTAGCTATTAGAACAACTGCAAGAGTTCTTAAGTCAAAGCAGGTGATTAGCTGTTTCTCTTTAACCCCCCAAAAAAAGATGTTCTTATTTATGTGGCATTTAATAATGGCAATGCCTTCAATATTCCTGTGAAGCATCCTACTTTAAAATCATTCTTTAATTTTTTTTCATTATATTAATAGTGCTATTCACCAATTGACCAAGAAATATTGAAAGAAGGCTATTGATTTGATAAAAACTCAAAAATAGTTATATACAGTAGATGCTTTGGGATCTAGAACTTGACCAGATTTTAAAAATTTGCAATTTTATAAGCAATTTCCAAGAAATGTGTGCACTTTCACTGAAAGAAAATGAATCTACAATGTTTGCAACAAAGATCTGCCAGATATATCGTTACAATTCAGAAAGTATGTTTTTAGGTAGAAAGATTAAGTTTAATCTTTCAATATTGAAAACATAAATTCTGAAGTTTAATTTTGTATATTTGTTAAGAATTGTTTAAAAAATCTAAGCCCTTAAATCACAAATTTCAGAAGTGGCACCCCAGTAAATAAATGAAATATTAACAGGATGTACAATCACAGGATGTAATGTCATTTAATTCAGACTTAATGCATGTATTCAATTTATTTATGCAACATTTTGTGAACTAGTAATTTTAAATTTTATGTTTCCTGCAGAATATTGAGCGTTTTTCTCAATCAAGCAAAGCTTTGCCTATTTAACATAACT